TGGTAACTCAAAGTCTCAGAAGTATGGCAACATATCCATCTCAGAAATAAAATGGACCAAGTTATGAGACATTTTTCAGGCCTCATGAGAAAGGCTTAAAAAAATCCAAGAGACCTTGAGCTCCAGATTCCTAAGAGTTGGCACAGTCAAACACATAAAACAAACAATAGAGAATGACTACATTTCTGTGAACAAGACAATGAGTTTGAAATTTATGAACTAATATTTCTTTTCCTTATGGCAAAATCCACATTCCCCTTTCCTCCACTGTTTGTCAAACAGCTTTCCCACTCTTTCTGCCAACTAGACACACCACAATAAACGTATTTTTTATATACAAATTGCTTTATATTTCTCAATAAATCATCTTTGCAGAGCAATGGAGCTAAAGGCTAAAATGAAATACACTGCTTCCAGAAAACTGATTAACAAAAACAGTAGTATATTGATAAGTTCAATATAAACACATCAAGAACTTGTGTGACTGCTTATTCTCAGGCTAAAGATGCAGAATGATAATAAAGTTCCCAATCTAAATTTTCCACAGTATGAAGTATGTGTTCCACTTCAGGACTCCATGCAGTGTTAACCACATTGGTAACACTGTCCATGCAGTGTTACCACATTGGTATCACTGCAAATTAGAAAAGCTAGCCCGTTAGACATTATACCAACAGCTACCTTTCAGCTGAAGAATCCACAGAAACTTGCTGTTAGTCTTTCTTGTCGTTTCTAACTCTATAAACTAGAAATGACTTATTCTAGAACATGTTCAAAATATTGAAGTGCAGCATCTGTAAAGAAAGAGACTAAACACACACACACACACACACACACTCACACACTACTTTCACAACTAGTTCACCTTTATTCACTCTAGCATGGTAATATATAGCTTACAGATATGGGTCTGAGCCATGAAGCCAAACAGCAACTACATCATTTGCAGTGACCATTTTCAGTCACTATAAATTCCATTCTATAAACAATCACTCCCCAGGCTGCTTCCCAGCCTAACCTTGCCCCCAAACACTCCCTGGCTTACTCAAGACCCAGCTGCACTATCAGCAATTATTATTCTTCTTCTTTAATTATCCACATAGCGGGAACAGGATGGCTTGCAGTTCCCACACTGAAGAATGAAACCAGACAAATATTAAAAAAAAAAAAAAAAAAGGAGGGGGGCACATACTTTTTTCCACCTTCATTCCTATATAATATAGTGTATTAGATACAATCTTTCATAAGAGTGCCATTGTACAAAAAGAAAAATACTCTACATCTACCATTTTCTTTCATTATTGAAACACAAGTATTTTCCCATGGACTCCTCTCTTATGTCCAGCAGAGGGTAGTGAAAGAACAGCTTTGTAAACTCCAAGAAAGTTCATCCTCAATTGACTATCAAGTAGAAGTATATAACAAAAGATTGTACGATTGCCTTTGAATTAGATGTTCTATTCTTCACACAAATTACCTAAAGTTTGCTGCGATCAACAAGAACTCAAGTTCACGTTTTCTAACCAAATGCCCATTAACACAAGGTACTCTGCATGGAAATTGAAATAAGATCTCTCCCGTGCCCATTCTAAACAAAATCAAATTTTGATTTATAAGCTAAAAATTCCACAAAGAGAGATAAAGAAATGTAGGGCTAATTCACGAAAAAAAATGTAGACCATTCTGTCTCAGGCCTACTACTCTAAAGCTCCTGTATCTGAATGGAAATCCATCTTAAAACAGTGACATCATAGGCAAAAATAAGTTTTATTTAACCACAGCTGGAAGTACAGGACTGGAGTTTTAAATTCGCAGCTAGTACACCGCAGTACACATGTAACACCACATGGGAGAAAAACACTTGGCATGTTGGCACACAGTGAAAAGTACGGCCCAGGCTTTAGTGCCCTTCTTTAATGCCCCTTCCACAATGTATTTGGCAACTAAGAATGTTATCCACAGAAGCTAGGACACTAATGAGCCAGCTATTAAAGCAGAGAAAAGGAAATTCTACTAAAATTAATATGTTTAATCCCCCAAAATATCCAGGCTTCACAGAAGCACCTCCTTCTACTTGGGAATGCAGAACGTAATAGAATCATAGAATAGTTAAGGTTGGAAAGGACTTTAAGATCACCTAGTTCCAACCCCCCTGCCGTGGACAGGGACACCTCATACTAAACAATGTCACCCTAGACTCCATCCAGCCTGGCCTTGAACACTGCCAGAGATGGAGCATTCGCAGCTTCTTTGGGCAGCCCATTCCAGTGCCTCACCACCCTCACAGGAAAGAACTTTCCCATATCTAACCTAAACTTCCCCTGTTTTAAGTTTAAACCCATTGCCCTTTATCTTATCACTGCAGTCCCCGACGAAGAGTCCCTCTTCCAGCATCCTTGCAGGCCCCCTTCAGATACTGGAAGGCTGCTATGAGGTCTCCATGAAGCCTTCTCTTCTCCAGACTGAACAGCCCCAACTTTCCCAGCCTGTCTTCATATGGAAGGTGATCCAGCCCCCTGATCGTCCTCGTGGCCCTCCTCTAAAAATGTCCTTTTAGAATGGCACAGTCCTTTCTTTCAAACGCAATTAGATGTGAGGATTGTGCTCTTTTCCCCTCCTTTATGCAACAAGTCTGTCCTTGAACACCATTTCATTCCCTTATAGCCTCCAAGACCAAAATTCCAATAACTGAGCTATAGAGGTGAAGAGCAGCTTATCTGGTCCCTTTGGTTGGGGTCTTTCCACTGTGTCTCAGCATGAAGAGCTGCTAATACCTCTGCCTTATTGTGCTCCAGAAGGTTAGAGAGGAAGAAGAATGACAAATTTATAAATCAAAGAAAGGTTGCAATTACATTTCAAATTCTTCTAATAGTAATCTGTTCCTCAGTATACAGTTGTTGGGAGAAAGGATTATGGGTGAGAGAGCAACTAAAAATGGGTTTTACTAACCCGCACTTTGAACTTCAGAATCCTTGCAGCCTTTCATGACCACACAAAATGCATTTGCAAGATGCAAATGATGATGTTGTTACAAATTCTGGAGTTTGAGTCCACTATCTAGTATAAAGACTACAGTAACCAATATTGTCTACAGTATGATCAATATTGAAAGCTTAAAACATCTAGTGCTTTTGCTTCTTAAAGAATAAAGGTATGTTCAGAGATGCTCATTAATCTCTCTTTGACTTCAAGTATAGAATGTTATTGTGGGCCCTTTCAGGCACTAACACACATGCTATTTACTTTTGAGATGGTACAGTGAGATGCAAGCAGACTAAGGTATATGCTTGCAGTCTAACTTAAGACTTTTTTTTTTTAATTCACAGGGACTTGTGTTAATTTGCTTAAAACTTTTGAGGTTTCATCACATACTTTCCTTAATCACTGCTAAAATAGCTATACTTACAAGTTCCACAAAACTGATTTTTCTGTAGTCTGAAGGTGTTGTTTTCTTATGACATTATGAAAAGATTCAGTAAGTTAAAAGATTTTAATAAAAATCAAGCAGCAAAAGAAGTATCTTAGCTGACTGGTTTATCAGCATTCCCTGATAAAACCATCTCCAGGGCACAGTACTTATACATTTGCAAGGAACTGAGTGCTTGCTTCTCAAATTTAAATAATGAGTACACTGAATCAAAATATTGAGAAAGACAAATAATTTGCTGTCTTGCCTCTCCACATGATTTCTATCATGACATATCAATATATTAATTATTAATATATTTAGTATAGTTAATATATTAATATAGATAATATCAATATATACTAGCTATATTAATATATAGGTAATATATTAATACAGTTAATATATTAATGTATTGTCAACATATTAAAAGCTGTGAAATTACAAAAAAAAAAAACCTCGCTCAAGTACTTGGAAGCAAAAATCTTTGTTTTTAAAAGGGCTATTGGAACTTCACAGTATGCAGCACTTTCCAACTGATGTTAATTCTGCCTAGCCCAATACATGCGGCTCACAATATACCTGAAAATAGATTTCCTGTGTATCTCTTTGAGGGCACAAATATCTGCCTTGTTGGTCAATTAGTGAGTGTTTTTTAGTTGATGAGATTTGACCTTCCCTGTAGGAATTTTCTTTTGTACTTCATCTTTAATGCAGGGCTTTACTTAACCTAGCAATCAATGCTTTAAACACTTCTTTTGCCTTTAAGGAAAAAGTAACAGAAAACACTGAAAACTGTATGCTATTTATTCCTTTAAGAGCTCCCAATACCCTGCAAGTTCCAATTCTTTAAAATTCATTGCAGAAAATATTTAAAGATTTTTAAAGCAAACTTACATCAGGATAAATAATCATCCAGTCAGTATGCTTTTCTGCAGTGACAAACATTCTACCAAGAAAGTCTTGGTCCAGACTGTTCATATAGATATCTTATTTACTGCAAAGCCTATCAGTGGACAAACAAAACGCTGAAACTTACAAAAGAACTAGCAGCTTAGTAAAAGGAGCACATTAAAGACTTCACACTTCTCAGCAACAGGTGTCACTCAACAGACAGGCAAACTAAAATTACCTGTAGCATTTAAGATAGGAAGAGGCTGCCATAACACCATTGTAATCTTCCAGTATGCTATGCCCCCTAACTAGCAGAATATCTGATGAGTTTCTCAGCTCCAGTAGATTCTCCATTGCCAATCCACTAATTGTCAATTTCTGTTCTTAAATCAAAAAGGTAGGAACATAGACAAATTAAGAGATTAGGGAAAACATACAGATTTCCCAAAGTAAAGTTAGCCTTGTTTTCATGCTTACATGAACCTTTTCCCATCTGCTGTTCAAACACAGTCTCAAGTCAGGCACATGGTGTAAACAGCATTCACCTGTTCCACCTTTTTTGTGAAACAGATGTTCAACATTTTGTTAATCCAGTATACAGAGTTCACAGCCTAACTGGCAGGTTCCATCCTTCAAAATGAAACTGCTCAGAGTGTCATCTCTTGTTAAGACTAACAGCAATAGTCAAAAAAAGCCTTACTTTGAGTTCTTTCTTCAGTCGCTCCTCTCGTTCAGCGCTGTATTCAAGTTGATTGGCCTGGCGCCTCAGCAGCTCAGTACAGCCACTGTGTTCCATCTCCATATCTTTCATTTTCTTACATACATTTTGCAATGCATTGTTTTGTTCCTGGGGAAAAAAAAAAAAAAAAGCATTAGATACTTTTACTAAGCTAAAGTATTATAGTAGAGAGATCAGAAGAAGAATACTTTGCAAGTGGAGACTGCATTGAAATAGGTTACTAAAATTAACACATTAGCATGTCAACAGAACCATTTATACCTAACAGCAGACATGCTCTTCATTCACCACCAGGTAAAATGTGCTGGTTCAAAAGTAACTACAAACATGACCTTCTGAGGTAACACTAAAATTAGAGCCAATTCCTCACCTGGTATGCTCTCTCTAAAAAGAGTACAAGGCTGCTCTTCCAGTCTCTTTTTTCTCTCAGCTCAATGGCTATGCTGGAAATGGTTAAGCGCATTTGACAAAATGATACATAGGGACAGAAGTTCTACTTTCTTCTGGTTTTAATTGTTAGAACTTGAAATCGAATCAGACATTTTTAGAAACAGTTACTCCCATAGACTAAGTAATCTTCATTTCTTTTATTCTGAGAAAGACTTCCATCTGTCTAAAAATTTAATTACTTTAAAAAATTATCTACATGAACTACAAAGTTCTCAGTAGAATAAAATAACCAAGCTGTTCTCCATTTCAATTTCTACATTCAGAAGTTGAACCAAGCTACAGGCTGCAATAATTACTAACTCTACTGGACTCAACAGCTCTGTGGAGTCACTGCTACAAAATCCACATTCACACCACACCCAGCTCAGAGGAAAGTAGCCAAATAATGAACCCCCACTAGTCTAGCGCATACTTAAGCTAGAGATCCCAGAAGTCCCCAAAAGACTAGCTTTGGTCTAGTGGACAGGAATAAGCTCTTCTGTAACTAGCATCAGAAACAAGCTATAAATCCTGTGATTTAGTTGGAGGACCTTTGGAGACCCAATTTGTTAAAATGACTTTCTGTGCAAAACACAAAAAGATTACAGTAAGTCCTTCTGCTCATTTACTCCTATTCAATACCATGGCAAGAGACATCTTTTGAAAATAAACCAGTTGGTCTGCAAATTCTGCTATTACTCTTACATTATATAACCTAGTTCTAGAAATTACTAATCATCTACAGAGCAGGAAGGAAGAGGAGGAGAAAATGAATTATTCATATAGAACAAATCTTTGGAAGATTGAAATCTGACAGAACCATGTTTATACATGAAGATCAAAGAAATTCAAGTATTTTCCAGTTTGCAAAACGAATCTTAGAAGTTCTTCCAGTTTGAATGTAGAAAGTTTTGGCAACTCAAACATGACAATAAGGGAATCACAAAATCACAGAATACTTAGGGCTGGAAATGACCTTCAGATCATCTAGTTCCAACTCCTCTGCCATGGGCAGGGACACCTCACACTAAACCATGTTACCCAAGACTCCATCCAACCTAGCCTTGAACACTGCCAGGGATGGAGCATTTACCACGTCTCTGGACAATTTGTTCCAGTGCCTCATCACACTCACAGTAAAGAACAACTTCCCTGTATCTCACCTGAACTTCCCCTGTCTAAGTTTGAACCCATTACCCCTTGTCCTATCACTACAATCCCTGATGAAGAATCCTTCTCCAACATCCCTGTAGGCCCCCTTCAGACACTGGAAGGCTGCTATGAGGTCTCCATGCAGCCTTCTCTTCTCCAGGCTGAACGAACAGCCCCAACTTTCTCAGCCTGTCTTCATAAGAGAGGTGCTTGTCCTTATTTTCTTCGTGGCCCTCCTCTAGACTTGCTTCAACAGCTCCATGTCTTTCACATACTGAGGACACCAAATATGTACACAATATTTCAAGTGGGATTTCACAAAAGCAGAGTTGAGGAGCAGAATCACTTCCTTCGACCTACTGGTAACTTTCCTTTTGATGCAGCCCAGGATACAGTTGGCTTTCCCGGCTGTGAGCACACACTGAAGCCGGCTCGGGTTCAGTTTCTCATCGACCAACACCCCCAAGTCCTTCTCCACAGAGCTGCTCTGAATCACTTCTACACTCAACCTGTAGCTGTGCGTGGGATTGCTCCAACTCAGCTGTAGGACTTTCTACAGTGCTAAATGTTACCAACTAGTAAGCAAAAAAAGTAAGTTGCACAGGCACTATACAAACAGCATGCATGTGAAACACATGAATAAACAAAAATTGGAACCTCAGTATATCAAAATACTGGAAAAATACCTGGACATGGACTAAATTTAAGCTAATCCTCTTTCTTTGCAATAAGTATCAAGTCAATACACAGGTTTCTTCCCAACAGCACACTAAAAGAAAAAAATTACCATTCTTATAGAAATACACAACTATTCCCACTCTTTGCCCCACTGGAAAGACACCGAGATATTTATCTCTTCAGGTATATTTTGTTAATAATCTTCCAATTATTAACAAAAGTTAGCTGGGAAAAGCACTCATGAAATAAGTAATACAGCATTTGCTGGAAAATAATACATCAAGACTTACAAACATCTTACACTGTAAATGTAGTTAACATTAATCAGACTAAAAATCAACATGAACACATCAAGCTTGTTGTACAAGTCAACTGGAATTGTTGAGATTTCAGAATCTTAGAGATGTCTCTAAACTTTTCAGACTTGGTAAGAAACTGTGTAAGATTATCCCAGCAGTCACCTACACATCAAAGGCTCGAGAAGAAACAAACTTCACCATGCAACAATAAATATATACACATACATGTACACCTGAATGTCATATACAGAGTTACTATATATATCTGCGTATGAAAAACATGGCTGGTTGTTTTTTTTTTTAATGTGTATGAACAACACTTTCACAAGTAGTCTAAGCAGAAACTAAATTCTTCTGTGAAGGATTATTACATTCTTCTGATTAACCACAAGGTGATGCTATTGCACTTACTATTGAACTCCAACATCTTTTTGTTAGGAAGTGGATGGCATGCTAAGCGTACCCAATAGAGCAGACTACAAACCTGTTGGAAAGCAGAGTGGATTACTTTCCTTTCATATCTTAGAGCCACATTTCAATAGGTTAAGCTGACTTCGTCTTCATGCCTACCTCAGCATTTTCACAGGCAAGTTCAGAATTAAGAGTTCATGGAGTGCAGTTTTCCCAACCAGGATTTGTATACGTGCTTAGAATCTCATATTTACGTATATATTAAGACAAAAATCAAATCGACTTTAGCTTTCATTTCATACTTTAGAATAATTATAAAAGTATTTAAACAGGCCTTTAAATGCACAACACAAAAACTGGAACATATTTCACTACAAGGGATACATTTCCCACTATGCGAGTAGTGAGGGACTGGAACAGGTTGCCCAGAGAAGCTGTGGATGCTCCATCCCTAGAAGTGTTCAAGGCCAGGCTGGATGGTGCTTTGAGCAACCTGGTCTAGTGGAAGGTGTCCTGGACCATGGCAAAGGGGTTGGAACTAGCTGATATTTAAGGTCCCTTTCACCCCAAACTGTTCTATGATTCTATGGAGTCATAATTTAAAAATCCAGATCCCTCTGACATTTACTACCAAGTTTAAATCAATCAAGCTTTCGAGCAACAACTAAGACAGTCAGGTATATATTTAACAATTATTTATGTATTTTCATTGGCTGGAAAAGTCCATATTTAACATTTATGTATGTATTTTCAATTTGCTGTAATTTTATTAACTATATATAAAACCCATAACAAGGGCAATGGGCAGGAAAAGAGCTACAGAAGAAAAGTGGAGAAATATGTTTTTACTACTGAAAGCAGCTTAGGAGTTAACAGTACTGAAGCACATTCAGCTTAGGAGCAAACAATTTTCTAGCTCTAATACATTTACCAACCAAACACCTGCCTCTGCAGATCACCTTTATTTCTGAATATATATTCACTGACATACAATACAATGTCCCAAGCAATCTACTGCTCCTTTTCATCTGATGCCAACCACCACTTGAGAGAGTGTACTTCTCCAACACTGCTCTTTTTATACAGTACTAAGCTCACTGAATGTATTTTGAAGAAAAGCCCATTCCAAAGCCTTCTCAACCTAACTCTGCCCACTGTTAGCCAGAACTCAAGAGACAAAGCTTCACTCATAGCCTGCTTTACCTGGCAACTTAAGGAAGAAAACTGTATCTAAAAATAGGTGTTTTCATAGCCTATACCTATCCCTGATTTTCTAAGCATCAACTGTGAGTGAAAAATGAGTCACTGAGTGTTGGTTAGAGAAAAAACTCAGGGTATCACCTGTAAATCAACTTGAAGGTTTTTCTCTGAAACCTTCTCTTTCCTTGGCTTTCTCTGGACTGCTATTTTTTTGGCATTGGGACTTGGGTTTTTTAGGGGGAGAGGGGGAGGTTGGTTGTTCTTTTTTTTTTTTTTTATTTGGGGGGGTTGGAGAGATTGTTTGGTTGGTTTTGCTGTGGTTTGGTTTGGGAGGGTGGGTATGTTGGTTTGTTTAACTGTTAATTTACGGTTCTTCTAACTGTTCTTTCAAAGCACTGTTCAGCATATCCACAGAATTACTGGGGAGAGGGTAGAGGAGGGCACTTCCTTTTTGTCCTTCAGAGAAAATCCAGTTCAGTGGCATCTCTCTCCACCATCAGGGATCCTGGTCATTAAGATAACAAGAGAGTGCAACTCCTTTTGCAGCCCATCCACAGAAACTCTACATATACACATATTACCTGATTTCTACCTCAGGTCTCATTACTGCACCTTTCTTTCCAAATCTTGCCTTCAAACAAAGAGCTAAAGATTCACTACACAGCATTTTTGGAATACATATAATTAAGGAATTCTCTCTGCCCTGTTTTTTTAAGTGTTGCTCCTACAGGTGCTGTATAGAGTCCAACCAAGGGCACCATAATGTAGTACAAGTAGGTCTGCTGTCAGAACTTTGTTGTCAAGCTGCCAGGTAGGGATTGGTTTGTCATTTGGGAAGACTTTTTGGCACTATCCCAGACTTAGAGCTGACTGGGTGGGAAGAAAGCAGGCCTAATTTTCTACTGTCTGACCAATGCCCAGTCCAAGTGCTACAAGCCTGCCACATCTTAAAGGGAGTTTTAAAATAGGAATATGAAGGGGAAAAAAAAAAAAAAAAAAGTCTTGCTGACTAAAAGAAAGTGAATCTCTTTAGTAGCAATCTGTTCTCTGCATATGTTATGCATATGACTAAAAGGCTATCAGCCTTACAGAGCATCTGCACTTCACTTCTTTAAAAGCTTAACTGCAGCTGAATACATTCTAGATTTTCCTCTAATGATATTATTACACTGCTAAGATATAATGTTAATTCAACTGTCCATTTAAAAGATTTAAATTATTACAATTGTGCAATTGTTTGTGGCCCTGTGGAGCAGGTAAACATTGAGTATGTTAACTCAGCACTTCCACACCATACTACCATATTTCTTTGAAAAATAATTCAGTTTTAATAGCTGGACTGGATAAAAAGTGTTTTAAAAGTTTGTATTTTTATTTTACAAATTTAACACCTGAAGAATTTACGCATACCAGTGAAAGTCAACTTTGCAAATCACTCTTTTCATTAAATACAATGAAATTTTCTGAAGAATAACAACACCAGACTCTAAAACAGATTATAAAACCATCTCTCAGTTTTAATTTTTTTTTTTTTTTAACTAAAAGGCAGGTTTTCCAATAGTGGTCATTTTTCATATGTGACATGGAGTGAGTAAGGTACAATGCAGAGCTGGAAACACCATCATCACTGTTTGAGTTCCCTTACCACGTACAGTCTCTGTATTACACAAATTATTTCCATGTTTACAGGCTGTTAGATACCAGACTGAGGGAGGTAAGCGGGAAATGAAGTTAGAAGCTAGGTGTTGGGTGTCCTTGATTTTACTAACTCAGCTTCGCACAACAGTACAAATGGGCCTCACTGCCACTGTGCACTGGTAAAGTGGTTTAAGTGTTTACCATGAAAATCAGCCACAACACACTCCATCAAAGCAAGACAGACTGTGACACACTAAGTGTAACTTTATAAAGCTGTATTATTAAAAAATATTCTGTAATATTTAGCTATTTGTGGGATTTTTTTACCCTAAACGAAAAAAACCCAAGCCCACCACACACTTTGCACCAAAAAGTCCTTACCACCATCACTTGCAACTTAGAATCACAGAATCATAGAATAGTTAGGGTTGGAAAGGACCTTAAGATCACCTAGTTTCAAGCCCCCTGCCATGGGCAGGGACACCTCATACTAAACTGTGCCACCCAAGGCTTCGTCCAACCTAGCCTTGAACACCGCCAGGGATGGAGCATTCACAACCTCCCTGGGCAACCCATTCCAGTGTCTCACCACCCTAACAGGAAAGAATTTTTAAGTTTGAACCCGTTACCCCTTGTCCTGTCACTACAGTCCCTAATGAAGAGTCCCTCCCCAGCACCCCTATAGGCCCCCTTCAGATACTGGAAGGCTGCTATGAGGTCTCCACACAGCCTTCTCTTCTCCAGGCTGAACAGCCCCAATCTTCCAACTATTAATACATCATACCTGCAAAAAACTTTCTAGTTTGGTTCTTTCCTTGAGAAGCAATTCATATTCATTCTTGCAAGTTCTACGGATATCATCCTTCTCACTTGCATGTCTTTGCTGTTCTTCTTTCCACTTCTGCTGAGCAATATGAAGCGTTTTCTCAGTCTCTGCCACTTTCTGCTGCAGTTTTTCATTTAACACTATTATTTAAAGAAAAGAAAGAAAACAAGTAGCACTGCAAAGCATGTTAAAAAAAAAAACCACAATGATCAGTTCTTCTGTGTATCGTGATATCCTGTGGGACACTGGAGCATTAACAAGTCCAGCATTGGACAGCACCACCTTCACTACAAAGAAACAAAATCGGTACTCCTGTAGCATATTTCATACAAGGACACAGAATGCTTCAGAGATTTTTATAGATTAAAACTCTTCTCTTCTTGGAAAGGAATAAAAATTAGTAGTAATGCTTTGAAGTGAAGTCTCTATCGCATGGAAGCCTTAATCTCAGATTTCTTCAACATTTGGCCAGCTTTTTTTGAATTGTCTATTTCATATAGATGTTAGCCTGTTTCAACTAATTTGGAGGTCAACTTACGTGACAGTGAAGATAAGCACCTGCCCCATGAAAGAGACTGTAGAAAAACCTAAGCCAGGCTGGGCTAGCAGGCAAAGGCTTAGCTTTTCCAAGGAAATATAATGCTGCTCGAGAGATTCAAACCTCCAGCCAAGCAAATGCCCTGATAGGGGTATATTTATACACTCCTCAGTAAAAGCTTAAATGGTGCAGAAACCTTCATTATCTATGGCTGTTTACTTAAGCAGTCTGACTTGGAGTTTTGCTTTATTTTACAAATTTGCTTTCAGATGAAAGTACTTTGGATTAGCTTTACATTTTCCTGAATACAACTAGCTACACTGGCAATTAAAATATCACTTTCTAACAGATTTTTATTTCAAATTCATCCTAGTTTTCTGAAAGTTCTTCTCAGTCAGAGAGGGATAAAATGAACAGAAGAGGCACACTAAGACAACACAGAGAATCAGTGGACACAATAATGGGAGAGGATTGTCAGACAGCAGAAAGGCAAGCCTGAGAGCTGCAGAAAAACAACCTGTAGGAAGTACTGAAGAGGACAAGGCACAAATGAGGCATTCTGTACAAGAAACAGTCAGGGTCACATCAAAGCACCAAATGAGGTGAGGAGGACTCCAAGTGACCTGGGAAAGCAAGCAGGAAGTTATAAACTACAAAAGAACTGACAAGCAACACCATGATAACTTGACTTCTTTGGCACCTGTCATGGAAAGAAAAACAAACAAACAAACACAAACCACAAAACCAATGTAAATTACTGTCAGTTAACAAGAATTCCAATTACTGATTCTGGTATTGAAGAAACTAACACACATACACATTCAACAAAACATCCTTGCTTCTGCAAAACCTCTACTACACCCTTTTTGTTCTCCAGTCTTCTCACCACACACAAGCACAGTCCCTTCAGGAAGCTGGCATCCATGTACTGTGGTTCCTTCATCTGCAACAGTCCCTTTTGAGTTCTGCCTCTTAGTGCCTGCATGTCACTACTTTGGTCCCAGCCCCTCCTCAGGCTACAGCTCTGCTGCTGTCTCTCCTGCTGTCCCTTTTCTTCTCTTCCTTCACTCTTCCTCTCGGCATTTACTGCCCTTTCTGAAACATGCTTTGGCAGAGATGCCATGCACTCTCTGATGGGCAGTTGGGCGCAGTGTGGTGTGTAGATTTGCCAGCTGTGGAGCTGGCTCAGACCAGCACCAGGCAGACCTAGACCTCTTTCCTCCCACACAGGTGGCCCTGCAGACCAGCACCCATCATTGAACACACTATCTGACACAGCCGTCAATGGGTTTTCCAAATCAAAGTGAACCACAAAATAAGATTTAAAGTACTTTAATACATACACACTACTCGCTTCTAAATTGGCACGGGGTAAAGTGAGCATGCAGAGAACAAAACAGCTTTCCCCTAAGTGAGAAACTAGCACTTCAAGTCTTCAGCTTGCAAATTTCCAAAAGGAAATAAAATGTATTCTTCCAATTTGCAATTCGTAAGATTTGTGTGTGTGTGTCCTCCAAAGGATTGAACAGTTCAGTTTTCTAATTACCGTAAAAAATACCTGATAACTTAAGTACTTGCAAGTCTCCAAATCTCCTTCCATTCTTGGAAAGATAAAAATCTCCAAGAGGAGTGCTCTAAACTCCTCATGGAACATAAAAGGTTCAGCAAACTCATAAATGCACCTCCTGTACTAAATTAAAAAGGTACTATACTTAGGTAATTAACAATGCACCTCATTTACTTGTAAGAATGAGAAATATCTCTGCTGAGGATCAAGGAAATCTGAGTTTCTGAATACAAAACTAACAGGGGAAAAAAATGTCTAGGTAAAAACCTTCCCTTCCATATACTACTGTCACAATATGCATGTCCCATTACCTATAAAAAGAGAAACAAGGATGATGATAAACCAGACACAAGCAATGAAAAGCTTGAAACCTTTGAAAAGAAAGAAGCAGTATGATGAAAACTTCTGGAAAAAAGTTGTTTGAAATCGTGCAAATGAACAGAAATGAACTGTTTTTGTTGTGTTTTTTTTTTCCCCTGAAAAAAAGAAGAACTGCTGGACATAGTGATAACCAGGATGTGGAGAAAGGTGCCAGGATTACAATTCTGTGTACGGACAGCACTGAAAGAAGGAGCAATGAAAGTCAAGACTCAAGAATAAAAAAGGGTTGATTGGTTTAACAGGTTAGTTCTAATTCACATGTGAGATAGCAAGAGTTTTCTAGACTGCTATGGGTTTACAAAAGCAGACGGACAAGAGATGGGAAAAGTTAAGAGAAGTCCAAGAAAAACAGCAGTAACTATAAATTTAATTAATCATTGCTTCTCACTTGCTTTCCGAACTTGGAACTGACTTAGCCTTTGTTGATGTTTGCTTTTTTGAAACTTACTTTGCAGTTCCACAAGTTTGGTATTTGCATCATTTAACTCCTCTTCCGCAGCATACATTTTCAGACGACCATCTTTTCTGGCAATTGCCAATTCATACTCCAGATGCTGTCGAACAGCCTCGCCTTTCTCAATTTCTGACCGTAATTTGACTATCTGGCTTTCATAGTCAGACAGCTAGAAAATAAATTTGTTTCAGAAAACTGGCATCAATGCTCTTTTGACAAAATATGTTACAGAAATACACCTACAGAGTATTTTTTAAAGAATCACATTTACAGCTGCCTTCTTAGTCCACTTCAAAGTGAAATATAGACTTACAAATGCACATCTATGCAGATTTTAAGTACTTTTACTGGTTTTATGCAAGCTTATGTTCCTATTTCTGGATGAATTTCATGTACCTTAAACATAGCCCTCCATTTTTCAAACAATACACTACTTTAAGAAAATAAAAGTCATAATGCTGTCATCTTCCTGCACCTCGAAGGAAAAACTGCAGCAACAGAAACATTATATTCCACAGGCAATTTTCTAGTAAGTTTCTTCAAATTTAGCACTTAAGAAATACAATTATGTTGGAATACTAGACTATCAGATATCTAATAACTCACAAGTATGTGTATGAACATAAAATTCAGCTCAATGATGTTCAGTTGTCAAATAGAATGCTATTAAATTTAGCAAACAACAAACTAAGAATGGAAAATGCATCAAAAAGTTATCCTACCCAGATTAAGAAACATAGTATAGTCATTGCTGCTAAACTACCTCCAGAAAATCAAGCTCAAACTATTTCAACACAAGAAGGTAGAAAGTAAAATACACAGAATCACCTAGGTTGGAAAAGACCTGTAGGATCATCAAGTCCAACCATTACCCCAATACTGCCATGTCCACCACTAAACCATGTCACTGAAGGCCTCATCTACATGGTTTTTGAATACTTCAAGGGACAATGATTCCATCACTTCCCTGGGCAGCCTGTTCCAATACCTAATCACCCTCTCTGTGAAGAAATTTTTCCTAATATCCAGTCTAATCCTCCCCTGGCACAGGTTGAGGCCGTAACCTGTTGTTCCTATCACATTCATTACCTGGGAGAAAAGACCAGCCACCTCCTCACTTCATCCTCCTTTCACGTACTTGCAGAGAGGGATAAGGTACCCCTTGGGCCTTCTCTACTCCAGACTAAACAACCTCAGTTCCCTCAGACATTCCTCATCAGACTTAATTCTCCAGACCCTTCACCAGCTTTGTTGCCCGTCTCTGAACCCACTCCAGCACCTCAATATTCCTTACTATTCCTTCAGAACATCTACAAAGTAGCTCCTTGACTTCAATAATATTGCATGTATGTAACTTAAGCATTTCCATTATCCACAACTATAGACTAAGTGAATAGGGGAAAAACAAACAAAAACCACCAACAAAGCAAATCAAAATAAAACAAACAAAAAAAAAAAGGTCTCAAGTTTATCTGCATTGCAGATCAGAACAGGAAAATGGTGCAGAAGATCCTTGTACACTCCCGTCTTTCAAATTCTCAATCTAAGAGGGGTTTTTATTTGTCTGAATCCAAGTAATTCCAGAGGGAATTGCACAGAACCACCCTGCAGTTGATAGGGCAATGGGAAAACGACGAGTTAGCTGCAGCACAAGAGCAAGTCATTGTGGGAGAAACATAAATTTCTTAATTTGGCTACACACCCCAATAATAAAAGGATATGGAACAAATGATTCCATAAACTTGGTTTATTCACTGGATTTGGCCAAAAACACAGGAATGAACGGCCACATCAACTGCCCCTAGCAAATTGATAAGAACAGAATTGTTATCTGTAGTAGTAATAATACTTCTGCATCAGCAGAGTTTAAACCAGGATATGAGCTGCCAGATTGGCATTATCAAGTCTGGCTAGGGTTTCTAGCAGCAACAAATCCAAATCCAATTACAACTACTGCTGTACTCAGTGCCCACCTTCTCTTATGTGTACTAGCATGAAAGCTAGTAAAAAAAAAAGATTAAGTATTTTCTTACTACTACTTGATTTTAATACTAGTTTGCTACAATAGCATCAGGGAAAACCTTCGTAATACAGGCTAATTATTTCCCTGTGAATGAAGCTCTTGTTAACAAGTTACTGATGAACACATCACCACATCTGTACATTATACATCATTACAGCTGTAGAAAACTGGTAATTTGCACAAGCTGAGATACTGCAAGACTACTAAAAGCTGGATTTGGTATATACACAAAAAATACAGTACTAGTTTATGAGTTGCAAACAACTTCTCCAGAATTAAAATGATACTCTAATACCCTGCAGAAAAAAAATATAAATAACAACTAAATCAGATCTTTTTATGAGGCTACAGTCAACTGTGGCTTTTAATTGTGTCTCCAGGCAATCCTACCTAACAGACCACTGGTACCGGCAGCGACTCCTTTCTCTGGAGAAAATTCACACTCTGCTTGATGCACCTTTAACTATCAACAATGCCAGCAGATGTACCTTTGAACAGCTACAAAAGGTCTGTACAGTGACACCTTCCTTGTTATTCTTCAGCTAATGACCGCTTTTGATAGTCCATGCTAGAGTATTATTTTAATGAAACAAGATCACATTTATTCTGACAGTAAAATAAAGCAAGCAAAAGAAGTCCTTACTTCTTGATTGTGTTTAATGGTTAAGTCTAACTTTTCTTTTCTAACTTGACAGAGCTTCCTTCTCAGATCTTCAACAGTATACACTTCTGATTCATTGCTGTTTTGTTGTAACTGTGACTCACACTTGGCATTATGTAAGCTGCAAAATATGAACATTTTCAAAAAAAACATGTATTCCTTGTAAGTTTTAATGCTCCTTTATTTCTCTGATCAGATTGCAAGCTCAAAGTTCTAAACATTTACTTAAGCAAAATTCTGCCACACAGTTGTCATCATATTATTACTGTTCTTTGAAAAAGAGTTATACAGAAATGCTTATTGTGCGAGATATGAGATCCTGCTGCAGCAGGAACTACTGTTAGATACACACTTCAGATTTCCCCATAAACATAGTAAGTTTTTTATCAACTTTAAATATCGCTATTATTTTTTTCAATAAACTTTCAGGACGCTTAAAAAAACATTATTCCAATCACATTAAAATGACTAGCAAGTTTATGTTTGTGTCCTGAAGTAAGGCTCATTTTTCAACATGGATTACCATCCCAAAACCATTTCTGCCATGAAACAAATGTACATATCTAGAACAAAAACCACTTTTCCACATTTTTTTTTTTTTCAAAGATACATACATTTAAACTAGACACAAACCACATAAATTAAAGTTCTAGGCCTCTAAAATACCCAGTATCTTCATTTACACTATTTCAGTTAAAATCTACTTGGCAGCTAGCAGAAGCCCTTCAGCACCACAAGCAATATTAAAATAATCAAAACAAGCTTTCATAAGCAGAATGAAAAATAAGTATAAAAAATATATATTAAAACAGCCCAGTTTAGTAATCTTACACGCAATTATTGCAACTTCAAACTGAACAACTTCTGAATTATTTCAGGAGTTTAAAATCAGTTTTCACGTTATTTCATATAAATAAGACTGGCTGCAATAATTAGTTGCTCCACACAAAAGCACAAGATGTCAGGATCACTAAAAATGAAATATACTGTGAAAAGAAACATGATTATAATAACCACAAAGTTGGCAACATGTCATACAGAACTGAAAATACTAAAATAGCTTACCTCTGTCTACAAGAGGCCTTAATTACAGACATGTCAGTCCACCGGGATTTAATTATTTGTTATATTTTAAAAAAAAAATTACCACTTTATTCCTAGGTTTGTGCAGAGGCACCACCAACATTTTCCATGACTGAGAACTCAACCTTATGATATGTTTTCTACCAGGAAAGACATAAATGTCATCAACAGGGGGAACAGTAATTTAGATCAATTGTTCACTTTAAAGACATGCTAATAATAAAAAATGAATTTTCAGGGTTCTAGCTAAAGCCTATAAATATTTTGTAATTTAATAAATATGAAGTCTATTCTCCATTTATAAAAAAGATCTATGAGTTCAGAGTATTTGCGTATCATCGGTAATTGTTCCACAATGCAGGAGATAAGGATCACTAAAACCTGCATGTACTACAGAAAAAAACACAGGCACATTTATTAGCTTTGAGTGTTTACTATGGGAGCTATACCCAGAGGAACCAACATGACTCAAAGGACAAAAAATCAGCAACAAGGTAAGTAAAAACACGTATTATTATATTATGCAACTCTTTGCTATTGCAGTAGGAAGATGTGGTGCTAAGTCAGGCAAGTAATAAAAAGCACCCATAAACTGTATAAAAGCTTATTTGTGGATATCATATAATACGTCTGCGAGACCTTTATTTTTCCATGGCTAGGGACAACATAAAATGAAAGAAAGGCAGTCATGTTGATATGATTCAAGAAGTACCAATCTCGACTAAAGATAGCTAAAGGCCAGACAGCACCAAAGGTAACAAAGCACAGGGTAGGGAGAAAACCAGAAGCCAAACTGGAACCTGGAGAGAACTAAGGCAAACAAATGAGTTATGAGAAGGGTAATCACTTTATTAGCTTGCAAGGACATCGTTTTGCTTCTTTAAACCTACTGGTATTTAATGCTTCTTGCATGGACAGCACACTGGATGCAAGCAAGGGAATGAGTACATTTTTTCAAATTAATAAAAACCTACATTTAAATCTCAAAGTAAATTACATTGGTTTGCATGGCAATCAGCTTTCAAGAAAGCTATTCATTTCAACGCATCTATTACACAGAAATTAACCAAAAAAACCCAAACACTATGCAAGAATCTACATAATAAAACTTACACAGAGGAAAATTTAACTCTGCTTAACTGGATCAATTTGGGGGAGCGGAGACACTCAAACAAACCACAAACAAGTTACAAACCATCAGAGGTGACAGCAAATTAGGGACGTTATAGAAATGCAAAAAGAACATAAGAGCATTAAGACACAACTGGGGAAAAAAGCATTAAGAGCATTAAACACCTTTTTAAAATACCATTTTCTGCACAGCTTCTAAACTCACAATGCCACTACCAAAAATTTAAAATATAAAGCAGAAAACGCTATTTTTGCTCTTAGTATAGAACTAAATTGAAACAGCAACTAAAAAAGAAAAATAAATAATCAGATCTGAGGGAATATTACCATGTTAAGCACTTCATTATTTTATTTGACTACCTAAACATTTTCAAATACAACAGACATTGGCCTTAAGAATTCTTATTTCTGTAGTATTTTCTTTAATCTTCCCAGCATTACCCGCACATGCAGTACTTTGTGAAAGCTTCGTATTACCTACAGTAGGAGATTCTTCCTTTCATATTCTTACTGCAAGTACAAGTGTTACAAGCATAAAGCTTTTGGAAACTTAAAGATTGAAACACACAAAATCCCTCAAAAGTTTCACAGCATGTATGATTTGCAGCCTAACAGGAATTCAGAGGATATTTTGTACTTCCATCTTCATGTATTAATAGTTTACCCATTGTTGGTTTTGAACTGAAATACGTAGTTTACTAACTACAGCTTTTATCTAAGACACCGTTTTTAGTAGTACTTTTAAGATTCTTCAAGAAAGCATATAAGCAAGTGAAATAGGTTTTGAGTTCTATGTTAAAGAATGACTTTTTTAACTCAAAAACCGAATTCATATTCACTTATCAATTCAGCTAGAAATGACAGCCAACAGAACACTGCATAAAAACAGCTTTTCACTAGCTTTTCTTCCACATCTGGCAGAAAATACAATGATTTTGCAACAGAGAGAAATTTTATTTCCTCTATTATCCACCGCTGGAATTTTGCTAAACTTCTCCAGCTGAAAGTTTCCTAACCAAAATTTATATTCATGGATTTTTGCTGTTCCTATATAACTGGCACTTTTGTATAATCAGACTTTAAACAGTAACAAATAGCTCTCACATCTAAGAAAGACAGAATGAATTAAAGCTTACTTTAATTGCCCCGGAGATTAAACACATACCAGGTTTTAGAAAATAAAAGTCACGTACAAGATTTAAAGCTGACCTCTACCACCTCAGCTTATGCAGAAAACCATTCTGTAACGTCAGGTCACACTCCTAACTGCAGAGAGGCACAACCTCTATCTCCAAGTCACATCTCCCACAGTCATGTGAAAATTCTTGCAGACCCAATTGCCTCAAGCAAATGCATGCCTTCAAGTAAATCTTGTCATCTATAATGACTGCACTGAATGGCATAGCTTGCATGTATCACACCGTATCTGGTGGTTCTTCAGTCTGAATTACATGATTTCAGGGATCTAGAAAATTAACCACAAAAACACAAACAATATTACTAGGCTTAGAAGTATAGAAGTAGAGCTCACCATGTAGCTTCCATGACAGCAGAGCTGACTGGAGTGAACAAACTCATGACATCCAATAAGCAGCTTTGAGTTTATTAACTCTGGAGAAGGAACATCATCTTCAAACATGTACACTCTTACTTGACAAGCTTCAAAGATCACCCTTTTCCATATCGTTAAAAACATTAAAACCTGCAACAGAGACATATTTCAGTTTATTTGGCAATATAATTAACCATTTGTTAACATTCCCGAACAGTTACCAGTGATACTATGCCTTGTGAACAACTACCACCCATAATCTAACATCAGTTTTAATCAAGAAATAGAACTGTTCCTGTCCTCTAAGCTTGAATATTGCAGATGAAAATAAATATATATTTTGTACAATATCTTCTACCAGGGTTTTCAGAAGGAAGTAAACACAAAAAGTTACGTTTGCATAAATTGTTCCCCTACATTCTCTTTTCCCCTAAGAGTATCACCAATTTAATTTCTCTTCAAAATAATTCTAAGGGAGGTAACAGCACATACTGTGATTTTTTTTTAAGCAGGTCAACATCTGAGGTTTGCTGGCAAATGGAAGCTAACATAGCAAGTCTTCTAACTTTTTCATAAACCTGGAATTTTCTATTTGAACATATTTTTATTAGATAGGTCAGCAATATTTTGGGGTTTATGGGAAGAACATTAAACTGAACTGTAACTCGGTTCACCCATAGAAGTAACCCACTAATTTAGAGTTACTGACAAAAAAGAAATATACAGACAACATATTTACAACATAGACCTTAAAAAAAGCTCCAAGACGTACTTCAAGTTGAATAGTGAAGATATTTACGTGTTCTACTAATTAAAGCAAGACAACATGAAAACTAAGCTGTATTCAACAGTCAAGATTAATAAGCCACTAGTCACTGAGGAACTAGTTTTCCATATCACCCGTTTAAGCTGTGTTGCAACCTACACCAAAATCTCATTAAAAAAAAAAGTGTAACAAACACTTTCTCAGATATCTGGGAGATTTACCTCAAGAACAGAATTCACTAACTCTATCCAACAATAGCTGCAGTGAAAAAAAGTCTTTGTCTTAAAATACAATCAAAACGCACTGTCACATCCACCCCATTCTGCAGCTTAGAACTTCCTGAAATTACTCTGAAGCCATAGAGGAAAAAAAAAAAAAAAAATAAAAAGCCCTAAAGATTATTTTCTGAGAATACAAATTATTTTGAATACACAACATTCCTCTGTTAAAATATGTATCAACAGATAGCTTATTAGAACACAGAGGGATACCCTCTAAAAGCATTCTATTTCACTTCCAAACAAAAGTATTCAAATGGCATGGAATGGCTTGTAGGAGCCACATAATTAAACAACATAGTGTTCATCTGAGGGATTAATACATTTGATGGGCATTTCCTTACAAAGCTTGCATCATATTCTCCTCATGGACTTCTGAATATGCTTAACTATGAACTAGGCCATTGATTGAGACTGGATATAAGTAAGTTCTTTACTGTGAGGGTGGTGAGGCACTAACACAGGTTGCTCAGAGCAGCTCTGGATGCCCCATCCCTGGCAGCGATCAAGACCAGGCTGGAGGGGGCTTGGAGCAGCCCCGTCTAGTGGAAGGTGCTCCTGCCCATGGCAGAGGGTTGGAACTAGCTGGGTCTTTGGAGGTTCAACCCAAAAGGCTGCACGACTGAGACTCTCAAAAAAGGCCTAACTATGATCTCAAAAGGTACTATTCTAAAATACACAATGCCAGGCATAACTAACGTATCTGCACTGGACCCTACAAAACTCACCAGCAGTTGTTTCAGCTCAAAGAATCACTAGATTTTCATTAACGTGGATTAAAAATTCTATGCAAGCTAAAATTCAAGCAGCAGCAGCAGCAGCAGCAGCAGCAGTTCACTTCGTTACACCACAGATGTCACTGGACCAGGCGCACGCCGTACCCGCGGCTCACATGGTCTGTCCGGCAGGCCGAGGCGACAGCCACAAGGAAGCGGGACAGAGTTTCAGCACACCCCTCACACCTGCTCGCAGACACCCGAAACCGCCCAGCAGCTCCGATCTCCGCCGTTCACCGAACGCCTCCAGCCTGCTGGAGACCAGCGGGGCAGCCTCAAGGCCCGCCCGCCGCCGGGATGGGGCTGACGGTGTGGTACCGCACAGCCCCGAAGGTGCCGGACGCGCCGGACGCGCCGGACGCGGACTGGGCACTCCCGAGCCCCGCGTGAGGCGCCCTTAGCCCACCGAAGCCCCGCAACCACCCCCGTCCCACCTCAGCGAGGCCGCCGGCAGCCCGCCCGATCACTAGGGCCCGGAGGGAAGGACGCGGCCACGCCCCGACGCGCCACGCCGCGCTCGGGAGCTCCCCAACGACGACTTCCGGCCGCGGAAGAGCCCTGGCAACGCCGCCGCTCGGAGCCGCCGAGAGGGACGTCGCGCATGCGCGGGCGAGCACCGTAGGGCTACGCGGCAGGCTGGCACCGCGGTTTCCCGCCATGCCTCCCGCCGCGCTTGTCCGCCCGCGAGGAAGCGGAGGCGCGATGCTCAAACCCGTCGCGCAGGCGGCTTGCGCGGAGCGGGCAGCACGGCTGGGAGGCCAGGATGAGGGGCCGGCGCGCCCGCGGTGTTTGCCGCCCGTTCCACCTGAGGGTTTGCACTTCGTCCAGTTCAGGAGTTGCTTCGGGCCACCCGAGACTTACGGGTGAGTGCAAGTGTCCTCAGCCAAAACCGGTATCCCCCAGCCAGGCCACTCCACAGCTGGTTGGGCATGCAGGATGGTTCACCTAGTACAGCTGCCTGTGCCAGCCAAATAGGCAGTCACCCGTGAATATCACCATCATCAGGCAGCTCTTGGCAGCACAGGTAGCATACCCAAACACCCCTTCGTGGGAGGGTAGGTATCCTCCTTCCCAGAGCTGCTGGCATGCGGGCGTGTGTGCAGCTGGACAGTAAGAGATACTGAATCTGCAAATTAGATTATAGGGTAAATATGGATAGCAAATCCTAGAATCACAGAATGGTTTGGGTTGGAAAGGACCTTAAAGCTCATGTAGTTTCAAACCCCTGTCAGGAACAGCAACATCTTCCTCTAGACCAGATTGTTCAAAGCCCCACCCAACCTGGCCTTCAACACTGCCAAGGATGGGGCAACCAGTTTTCTGGGTAACCTGTGCCAGTGCCTCACCACTCTGACAGTAAATAACTCATCCTGGTATCTAATCAAAATCTACTCTCCCTTCAGTTCAAAGCCATTAACTACCCCTTGTCCTATCAATAAAGGTCCTTGTAATGAAAAACACTAACATGAAAGCCAGACTGAGATTTGGATGCCCTTAAATATGGGGTGGCAGATTCTTCACCCAGATCATCAGAAAAACAAACAGGTGAAAGATGATGGTGCAAAATCGTAAGAAGGGTTGACAGGGAAACAAGTAACAAGGCTACCACTGTTGTTTGCACAAATTGAAAAGTTCTTAAACACCTCAACTGAGAGATTCCAGGGTCCAGATGGAAGCATATGTAATGTCAAACAGCAACAGATGCCGAATAAAATTTACCCTACAATAATCCTGGGAAAGTGGATGAGGTATTCTGGAAAGAGTGTTACAGGCTAAAGGGAATTAAAACACCTTTAACATGTCCAGTAACTACCATTGACACTATCGTAAGTAGATACACATTAAGATACTAGTAACATGTTCTCTTTAACCTGAATTTCCACAGGCTGTGAGAAATATTGCATGAGCAAGATTGTGTTAAAAGCTATCACAAATCACATTTGGAAAAGCAACAGTAAGGTTGCTTTAAATAAAGGAAAAGTATTATAAAGGTAAAAGTAGTAAAAGAGTATCGGTCTGCATTCAAAGAGAAAAATGCATCACCATGTCCATAGTCTACCATGTTATCTAGGAAAACACACCATCCACAAATGACCAAGGTAATCTTAGAATTCATACAGTCCAAAAATGACCAGGTTATTTAAGACCACAGGGTCCAGAAGATAAATAAGGCACTTAAGAGACAATAATATAAAACAGATAGCGCACGGAATGGGTGCATGAGGAAACACAGAAAAAAAAAAAAAATCTGTTAACTCAAGCCCAAGTAATAGCATAGTTGGAGACATATTAAGATTGGATATATATGACTGTAGTGAGCTCACACAATGCTCCAAGTTGTGTAACATGCTGTTTCTTCAGCACTGGATATGCAGCACCCATAAGGCTAACAGGCTGCAGGTACTGTACTGCTGCTTATGTGAGTACAGTCTTATCACTAAGGGGAGTTGTGTTGCATTACCTATTCTCAGGTTTTCTAAGTTGCATGTGATCTGGTAACCCATTCCAGCTCTGTGTCACTGTATAGTCTGAATGCAACAAATTGAAAAAGAAGCATAAAGTCTTCAACTTTAATTCAGATTTTTGACTCTAAAGGTCTCAGATTTTATAATGTCAAAAAATCTACAGAGAAATACAATTCACAAATTAAAACATCTTTTATCTTTACATACATACTTACATTTGTAAAAACACAAAAAAATTGCTGGGATGTTTCTTCTAGTTGGAATTCCCCAAAAGGAGCAAGATTACACTAAAGATAGTTACTTATGAAGTTTAAATCATCTTGTATTAACCACAAAGCTGCAGTTGGCCCTTACTCAGGAAAACACTCATACTGAATTCAAAGTACAGCTAAGTGCTTTGTCTTACAGGTCAGCATGACTGACTACAAGAATGCGAGTACTGCCAGAGCATTTAAGGTTCCTGTCACTTTTTATTCCAAAGTTGTTTCCTGTTGCTTTTAACTGCAAAAAGACCGCTTTGGGCTAAGGTTTTCTAAGATGTGTGGTTAAGTATAGCCTGATACTGGTATCCTTCAAGGTCTAGACTGAAGTTTTAATTGCAAGTCATAAGATAGCCCATCATACTTTACCCCCTTTGAGATAAGTCTCAAAACTTCATTTCTAGTTTGTGACCTAGTTTATGTATAATTGGCTTTTAGCTGTGGTTTTGCTACTTCTGCATCACAGTTATTTTAGATGTCTTGTGCCAAATCAAAGAGGTTCTTTGCCCAGAGGCACAACATTGGAAGATTTCATCATGTTGCAATTCTTTTAATAACAGCATGGCTTTTTTTTTTTTTCCTGATCGAAAATACACTAGTGAACAGGGCTTTGTGTCTGCTGTTGTCTGATGAATAGTCAAAAACTGAACATGATTAAAAACGGCCTGGGATAATAAATTAAGGGATAATATGAACAGAGTTGTAGAGATTTAACACCATATCTGGAGTTTTGGTAGGTTTTGCCACCTTAATACCTTAACCAGATACTGAATCAATAAGCAAGTTTATCTTCCCAAAATAATACACATATCATTTTTTACCTTGATTCACAAAAAATGCTTCAGACACAATGCTGCTGTTGCTGCATGCATGTAGCTAACCAAACACTTTTTCTTCCTCCCACACTGAAAACTACTTATGATATATCATAGAATCATAGAATCAACTAGGTTGGAAAAGACCTTTAAGATCATCAAGTCCAACCATTACCCCAGCACTGCCAAGTCCATCCCTAAACCATGTCACTAAAGGCCTCATCTACGCAGTTTTTGAACACTTCCAGGGACAGCAATTCCACCACTTCCTGGGCAGTGTGTTCCAATGCCTGATCACCCTCTCTGTTGAGGAATTTTTCCTAATATCCAGTCTAAACCTCCTCTGGCACAGCTTGAGGCTGTTTCCTCTTGTCCTGTCTTGTGTTGCTTGGGAGAAGAGACCAATCCCCACCTTGTTCCATCCTCCTTTCATGTACTTTGAGAGCCTCCTTTCATGTACTTTGAGAGGGATAAGGTCCCCGGGGCCTACTCTTCTCCAGACTAAACAACCTCAGTTCCCTTAGACGTTCCTCATCAGACTTATTCTCCAGACGCTTCACCAGCAATATACATGCTATATTAGGTATTTCTTCACAGTTCAAGGAATATTTTGGTCTAAAATCTACTTGTAGGCAGGATATATAGGGGATTTTTAGAAATGTGGAAACAAATCAGAGTTCTTTCACACATGGGATTCAGCATTATTCTTATTCCTCAAAGAGACCTGTTCAGGATGTCACTAGAAAGAGTGCTTGACATTGGGGTAATGGAGAGAATGTGGTCCTTCACTGTGGATCTGGCCTTGGCAGAGCAAGAGGCAACTACTTCTCTTGCAGGCAGGATACGAGCGTGCTTCTTTGCAATGAGACATAACCCACACCTGCAGGAAATCAGTTGGAAATGTCTGTTTAAAACACAAGTTCAAGACATAAAACTCCTCATGGTAAGAAATACTTTGCACCTCCGAAGTTCATTCCTGGCTTGTAAGCTTAATGCATATTGTGTTCTGACCAAGAGGTCAGCTCAAGAGGTGGGTGGCAGGTCTGTCTGAAGGACAGAATTCTGTCCTTCAGAATTAAACTGCTAAAAAATGCTGATATGGTACACAACATTTAATAGCAACAGTATGGCATGTTACCCTCTTTCAAGTACAATGTCTGGATTGCAAAATACACATTTGTTTTTCCTTCTGTTGTGTCTGTACTTGAACAGTCTGTCTTCAATCTTATCTTTACTAAACATGCACAAATGAGCCTGATTACACACAAAATATAACTTGTTCAAGCAATTTTATTTTTCATTCTTTATATTTAAGTTTGCTTTGTTTTCTTTAGCTTTAAAAAAATGCTTTAGTCATATTAGGCTGTCTTGAAGAACACCCTACTTTTGTATGAAGCCAAGTCATCTCGAGTTACTTCCTTAATTAGGAAAAAAAGCATTTTCAGCTGCTCTTCACTGGTTTTAATACAAGGCACAAAGCTTCTGATTCCTAAGGAATGTCAGATTCAAAAGACTGTTACCAAGGGTTGAGGAAATTAGAATGTTCTCAGGAGATTCCAAAAGCATTACTTCAAAACTAAAATATGAACTTATTTGATCTGATGTATAATTAAACAGAGCAGTGACTTAGCTAAGGAAGTCCTTGCAGATTGTTTCTGCTTAGCAGAATGTTAATATACACAGTTTTTGCACTACTTATTGCAGAAAAAAATACAAAACTTTATGCATTATTGAAATACTTACATATGTGCCAGTGCAGATACAATTTCTACCACTGCCAAGCTTTCATGTACCTCTAAA